GCCAGAGATTTTTGCTTCTGTACGTTAAAATTTACAAAAACTTTAATACCTTTCTCAATTCCGATGGGTGCAGAGTATAAAAATTAATTAGAAACTCATTAAGAGTTATTTAACTGGCACTACGTGCTGCCCACTGTGATTGGGCGTGGGAATGTAGCAAAAATCAGTCAAAAACACAGCAGAGATGGCGATGGGCATGAAGTGAAGGAGCGAGACAAAAGACAAAATGTTCCTAACTCATTTACTGCTTTACGACACAGCGCTCTATGCCAGATAATTGATGTGAAGTGAAAAGTGTTTCGAGTGCCTGAAAACTTCACTGAGGAAATTCAATTACTGCTGAGTATCGAGTGTTTTCCATGGAAAAATGGTGAGGGCAAGGGTTGAGCTCCTCTTTGATTATGCAATAAATCAGAGCTCTCAATGGACCACAGAATTAGTTTGGGGAAAACTATTGTTGAGTGCGAAGAATTCGTTGAAAAAGTCAAATGAAATTGAATTTCCAGCTCGGATAATAAATTGCATTTGTGTACTAAAGGCACACCGAATTTCATTCCAAATTTTCGAGAGTACTAACCAAATACGAACTGCAAATATGCAAATGTTGTTGAAGTCTGTTTTTAATTAAAATAGAAAAGGTAAAAGAGAATTGTATGGAAATAGTTTAACACAGCTTAAAAAATATTTGTAAATAAGTGAAATACTCAAGGTTGAATATTTATTAAAACATTTAAGGTACCAGTACGACTTGAAGTTACTCTAAGCTCCAGCTGATTAATTTACTATATATAAATATATATTACATATTTTAAGCTCTCTCTAACTGTCAATACTTAACCGTGATTTAAACCATCTAGATTGAATTAAATTATCTTTCTCCACTTACTAAAATTATACTTGAAAATTTGTTGTGAAAAGCTACAATAAATTAAAGAGGTAAACATATTCAAGTTCTCAAGTTCTTGCTCCCAATCGAACGAATTTTATTTCACAATTTCTTCTCTTAAATTGATTTTGCATCTTAAGTTAATCATTTAAAAGTAATATTTTAAGCTTTCAAAAAATAGAATATATTAATTAAAATAAACAATAAAAAATTCGTTCGGCTCTTAGTTTATTTCTCAAACGCGTGTTTTATATTTATTTCTCCAATCGCATTAAATATTGTTCCATAAGTTTCATTAATAAACTCTCTGGATAATTAATAAGATTGAAAAGACTGTAGAAACACGAATAACATGAATAGTATGAATGAATTATACAACTCTTCTACAAGCTTTCGAATAACAACGATTGCTCAATCGTCGTGTTCCACTTGCAAAACTGAACATATAATCTCAATGATTGCATTCAATAATGCTCAATAATTACTGGAAAATGTGTATCCGCAGTCTTTACTGGGTATTGATAAATGTTTTTCGATTTGCAACTTAATTGATAGAGCAGAGCACAAATATTTTTGCAGCTTGTTTTCGCGTTTCCTCAATTATGCTCTGGGAAAAGTCGCGTGTGATAATTGGACTTGAATGCAAACTGAGTTGTTTTTCTTTATAAAAATTTTGTTTTTCAGTCTCTGTTTTGCAATGTTGTGGAAAGCAGATCAGAGAATGTGGGTGGCTCAAAGTGCGGCATGACTGCAGCTTTAACTATTGACTATAATTGCATTGCCACGCCTGCTCTGAAAGCCCCCTTAGGGCGCACAAACCAGTTTAGCGCGGGACAAGTTGCGTAATTGCCTGCCGGATTTAGCTCTACTCGACAACAGGTGTTGATGCCGTCAACCCCTCTGCCCACGTACTTCACCTCCTGCCCCTGGCACCCACGCTAATTGCCCTATCTCACTATCGATTCTTTATGCAACCAGTTGCCAAATCCCGTCCTCCTCCTTTCCATACTCCCCTCTCAATGCAAGCCCCACAGCGGTAGCTTTTTGTCAGATGTTTTTCAGCGGCAGCAAAATCAAAGAAAATAAAAAAGCACACAAAAAAATCGTTGCTTTTGGCTGTTGCTCTTTTGGCCGAGACAGTTGTTAACTTAATTAAAGTGCATGACGCAAAAGTAACAAGAGTAAAGCAGCGCTACGGCGAATCAGAGTTGAGCTTGGCTTACTCAACAAATGCCCTACCTGATTTATATAAAACAACTAAGGTGTATTTATTTATATCTATGAATCTTTAATCTATATATTACTCTGTCAATTTCAATATTAATATATATGGCAAGCAAGATATCAATCTATTTATTTTCTGTCCATATATCTAAGTACTGATCTGTCTACTCGCCGATTAATGTATAATTTATCTTGCCAATTATCTGTGTGTCTACTAATCGGTTTATAAATCTGTGCATGTGTTTCTGACTATCTTTATCTCTGGTTTTGTTTATTTATGTATATGTATATACGGCTATAGCTAGAGCCATCTATTTAACATTGTACATATTGACATATCGATCTATCAATTCACTCATTAGATTTTTTATACTGTGACTTTATCTAACAGTTAACTGTAGATTTATCCATCTATAGACACGTAGGTATTGGTTCATGTTCCTAACTAATTATCCATTATTATTCGTATATCTAAATTCATTTCTCTTTCAATTCAATGTGCCTAAAAACTCTTGAAGTTATATCTGTGCAATACAAGCTTTTGTTTAAAATATGATGATATAATACCTCTTCTTATTTCCACTTTGTCATCATTAGCAATTATGGCTCTTGCCTCTGCATAATACTTTAATCAAATACTTTATTTACTTTTTCATTAAGTCTTTATTATTATAATTTTTTTGCTTTCTACGCATTTTAACTCAACTTGGTATTCAAAATATTTTTGTGCAGATGTCACGATTTTTTCTGGCTTCGGTTTTATATTTTAAAATGTTTATCAGCTTTTTCTTGTTGACTTTCAATGTGTGATTTATTGCAGGGCATCGCATCTGTTTGGACAGCTGAGACAGACCGTTGCATATGCTAACTGGCAATTGACACCCCCATTGAATGCCTCTTCCCCAGCAAAAACCCATTTGCATGTGCATCTATTAGAGCTGCATCAATTAAGGCGTCTAGAGGACCCAACACACAAAGCACACACATACGCACACACACATTCGTTAGCGCCAGACTCGACACCGATTCGGACCAGCTGCTGGCCAGCCCATTAAATTGAAATGCACGTGATGCACGTGACAATGGGCAAGGTGTAAAGGTGTGTGTCCGCTTTCTTCCCTCCCACCGGCTCAGGCTTCATTGTCTGGGCTGTTGGAGAAACGTTTTCCGCACACTCAATTAATTTAATGGATCAATCGATCGTTTTGTTTGATGCTAGTCATTAAATTAACGCATTGACTGCGCAAATTGTAAGCCTTTATTTAACATTTTCCATTCATTAAAAGCTTTAAATGATAATTAAGTACGCAGAAATATTATCAAGATATATTGATTGATTAACTAAATGATAAGCTAATCTGCGAGGAACTTTATAAAAATTAATTTTAAAGATGTTTACACACAGTAAATTCGCACTTCGGGGTGGGAAAAATGTAAATAAAATGATCAGAAGTTGAAGTTTATATCAAACAAACAAACTCGAAAATAAATCAACAGGAAACTTTTCTCTTTTCACTGAAGCCACTTCAACACAGGAAATATGCCAAAAAAAATATCTTAAATTGAAGTTTGTTACCGCGCACGGCCGGTGCCACAGCTAAATGAATATTGAAATTTAATTTCTAGTTTATATGCAAATTGTAAACTCATAAATTGTTAGACCGGCTCTTTCCCGCTTCAATTTTAAATAGATAAACAAAAATTATACAAAATACTCGCAGAGCTTGAAAAACTTGGAAAAGATTTATTTAAGAAACTCATTGGGCAACATTTAATTAAAACGAAATTAGACAAACAAATGCGCGGCTAATTAATTAATTCGTAATGCCTAATAAATTTGTCATCAATTTCAATTCGGAGGCACCCCAAAAATGAATGCATTTTTTATGCTGCTTTTAAGTAAAAAAAATTGAAATAATAATAAAAACCAAACAAAAAACGATCCGCTGCTAATCGGTCTTGAGCTCTGGCTTCATAATTTATATTAATTTATTTGTAATTTAATTTTGTGCGCTTTGTAAAAAGCATCTTCGATCCCTCACAAATGTGCGCAATTAAATATTTAAATTGTTTTCGTTATTTTTTTATATTTTTTCTGACGGCGGCTTTGTGATGCCTTTGCATGTTTTCAATTTGCCGCTTAACCGAATTCAGTTGAAGGTTAAAAAATGTTTCAATTAATAATGGAATGGAAAACATTTCAGCCGGATACTGCGTTTAAGCTTGTAAAGAAAAAACGAATGACAACTTTGAACGACACTGGAAATTGAATCTATATTTAAAAATATTTCTATTTTCCATGCTATTCTAGGATATTTTTATAAAAAATATTTATTTGATTTCAATTATTCTATTTACGTTCCTTTTTCTGCTACTTGTTATCAAATTGTGTACGACAACAAACAAATTGCATGGCACGTCTCAAATCTCGTGTCACTGTCAAACATTTACTTAACAGGAGATGAGATGATGATGAATGACAGTTCTATTAACTTTCCAGTGTCGCAGAAAAACTAATAACAAAATAAAAGCTGTCCGCTGATATCTAATTGAAAATCTTAGACTTGTAACAAAAAAGCGGAACTAAGACGTCCGAAATAGACAAACAAAAAGGAAATAATATTGAATACTCAGATGATATGCTGCCCATATTAAAACAAGAGTGTTCTTGTCGAAACGGCTCGACTTGGAGATACCCTAAACCGAAGAGCTGATATTCCACTTATTCTAGGCTTCTTTTGACTAAATAACTTTTCTTCCATGGCATATGGCATAGGTATACAACTATATATACACATCATCTCTTGATTAATAAAGAGCTTTGCTTGCTTTTTCTTGGTCATCTGTGCAGTAATTGTCAAGGTTTCGAGTTCTGTTTTGATTATCCAAATATTTGAGTAATATATTTCATTACTTGTTGATAAATTAATATATGCTTAGTACTTTCCTTTTATGGATTGCCTTTAATTTGAGTCGCGTAAAAATTAATTAAAAATTAAATGGAAAATTCTAGTGATAAAAGGAGGGCAGAATTCAGTCATGATATAAATAAACATGATTCGGATTCCGCCAGCTCCGATTCGGCGGATGAAGTCGACCTGCAGCGTAATGTCAAAACAAGTAAGTGAAATCAAAATAATGTTAAACAGATTATTGTAAGTCTTTCAATGCTCCACATTCAGGCGAGAACCAGCCCAACAAACCAATTGAATTGATATTTGTGGCACTTTCGTTTATACTGATGTTCATCACGTTTCCCATCTCCATATTTATGTGCCTGATCATACTGCAGGAGTATCAGAGGGCAGTGATATTGCGACTGGGCCGCTTACGTCCGGGTGGTGCACGCGGCCCAGGAATGGTCTTTGTATTGCCATGCGTTGACCGTTATCGCAAGATTGATCTGCGCACCAGATCGCTCGATGTGGCGCCACAGGATATACTCACCAAGGACTCGGTGACCATCAGCGTTGATGCTGTGCTGTATTATAGAGTCAAGAATCCACTAGATGTCGTCCTGCAGGTAATTGACCCAGAAAACTGCTGTGAACTGTTGGCCATGACAACGCTAAGGAATATTACTGGCGGCTACATGCTCATCGAGCTGGTCAGCTCCAAAAAGGCGCTGTCCAGGCAAATTAAGACCGCACTCGATTCTACGGGGGCCACTGAAGCATGGGGCATTCGTATCGAACGTGTCGAAATGTGAGTAGAAAAGTCAAGAACATTCATCCCAATATTGCTTGCTGGTAGAGAACAGTCAGAAGAAAAAGGCTTTAAGCTTTTAACTCACTCAATTAACATATATTCGAAATAATTTTGGATATTTGAATAATTTCACTATAATATTCAGTTCTCTCTTTCATTAGCTATAAAAAAGAAGATATATTTCCTTTTTAATTCAGGCTTCTCTTGAGAAGTCAAACATGATTAGGTGACAGGTTTATTTCTTAATATGTTGACAAGAGTCGCATATTGCTGCCTTGTGTTAGGATGTGCTCATGAGCTCTTAAATTATTCGTACAACGCCGGAATTCATGAGTTTATTTAACGAAATCCATTATACTCTACTCAATGACGCTTCAATCTAATTTTGGTTCGACTCTTAATAGAACTCTCCTCTCATTCCCACAAAGCACTGATATTTATATGCCAGAGTCACTGCAGCGTGCCATGGCAGTGGAACAGGAGGCGAGACGTGAGGCAATGGCCAAGGTAGCTGCGGCAAATGGCGAACGCGACGCTGTCAAGGCACTGAAGAAGGCCGCCGACATCATGGAATCGAATCCCATAGCTCTGCAGGTGGGGATTCATCTTTCGCTTTCTCATAAATGAGTTTTGATTTATAATTATGTGTCGATATAAACTTCCAGCTGCGCTACCTGCAAACACTCAATACGATTGCAAACGAAGAAACCCAGTCCGTTGTCTTTCCATTCCCCATTGATATTGTGCAGAAACTAATTAGATGAATAAATGTGTAACTGTATAAACTACCATATATAAATACAGAATGTTTAGTTATTCGAAGCCCCCTCAAACCATTTAAGAACATGGCTGAAAAAATACTTCGGAATCTTCAGTTGCAGCTCAATTGTTACAAGTTTGACGTAGTACAAGACGTAAGTATCAATTATTCTCTCGGGTCTTGGAACTATAAAGCATATTTCCGTAATTAGGCAATAGATTTATAGCTTTCATTTTCCTCTCGAATACCGCAAACTGTAATTTGCATCATTAAAATCAATTAAAATCTGTTGTAATACAACGAACAAATACCAATTAATCTTGAAAGCATATTCAAAATGAGCAAAGCAGCAAAGTTAAAATGTGAATACAAGTACGCAGTACCCCCGAAGTCGAAATAAATTTCTGCTGATTGACATAAAAGACAAATGGTCCAACAAGAGGCAGCTCTTAAGTGGAGAGACACTCAAGGCTATCTGTGGAGCGGGAACAGGGAGAGGGCACATATTTTGAGAAATCTTGAATGCCTCTGCACTTGCAGCAGCACTGCAACATTTTTCGCATATAACTCATTTTAATGGCTTTTTAATTATGCTAGGGAGCAGCTACTCGAAACTCTTGAGAAAATGCATTATGTTCAATAATTTGATAAGCGATTTTCTATGAAAAGCCATCAGGCACGCTTTTAATTGAACAACATTCTCATTTGTTTTCATTTTTATTTATTTTTAAATATTTCTCTTGGATACGTTGACCCCGCTGCGCACTTTAAACAACTGAATTTTGGTCATGGAACGTTTGAGTCGAGTTGCGAGATCGCAACTTGGACACATGTTTTTTTGACTTCATTTATTCTTTTATTTCTCCAAAGAGCTACGTCATCGTAGCAGCAGCAGAGCAGAAACAGAAACCGGTACCGGTTGGACGCAATAACGAACCACGTGCTTGGCCACTCGGCCACTTTGCCGCCAAAAAAAATAAATAAATAAAGCCAGCCAAAGAGTTGAACTGGTTTTTTGCGCTTCAGCACCAAAATAAAGAATTCCTAGGCATAAACGAAAATTTAATGCGCTGCAGTCTTATAGTAGTACGTACTGGAAAAATATATTTAATAAATAGTGAAAATATATTTGAAATAATTTAGGAGACAATCAGAAAGAATCCGAGAATTCAAAATGGTTTAGCAAATAAAATGAAAAGATAAGACAGAATATAAATATTATATTATTATTATATTATATTATTTTAAGTAATACAAAATAAATAATATGTTAAAAATTATTTTCCTAAAATTTTTCATTTTATAATTTTGCAGAATTTTTAAATATTGTATATGTTATAAATCAATTTGTTAAATAAAGTTAACTATGATTTTTACGAATTTTATACATTTGTTATTTTCGCTTTGTTTAATAATCTGCCCCAACTTAATTATTTTTATTTTACCGTAGCGTATTTTATTTTTATTCTAATTTCCAGCTTCAATATTCATTGCCATGTTTCAAATTGGCTGCCTCAGATAATTAATACGCGAACGCATTCTAAGCGCTACAAATGTATCTCAATGTTCATCTATCTGTATCTGTATCTGTGTATCTCTCGAGCTTTATACAAATTAAATTTATGAGCGCACTTTCAAGGTGACTGTGACGTAATAAGCCAAACTCAAGCCTCTATCATATCAGCCCTGTACTTATTTGGCGTATTTGTTAGAGTTAATCAATTTTGAGATTTGTTTTGTTGTTGTTAGGCCTGACAGGCACAAAGCTACGTTTCATAATTTGGCCTAGTGTACCCATTCGCTGTATCTAAATGCGAATCAGAATCGCATATGTCAGCATTAAAAAGCATAATACCCAACACAAATCATTTTGGCAGCTCTCTTTATAGCTGAATATGAAACGTTGCTTCATAGATCGCACAATGTATCTGTATCTTTGACATTGTTGCCAGCTGACAATTTGTTGTTTTGTGCTCGCTTCTAGCGTGAGCGTTGAACATTATAAACCTAAACATGGACAACATGTCAGAGAACTCCATTTGACTACGTATATCATTTTTATTTTTTTTATTAGCAGCGCTGAAGTTTATTTCGTCATTTAAAAAATAATAGCTGTAATTATAATTGATCAGATTATTTATGTGTGGGCTGAGGTCTGATTTTTGTACTATTTTTTAAACTAAGTTTAAAGATATTTAGTCTATTATTCCAATTACAAATCTCTGATTTTACTATCAACCAAATAAGTGTTGCGTCTTAGCTATGCTTACAAAATTACAGATAAGCATATTCAAATTAAGAAATAAAAGTTAATTTAAAGATTCTTAATAAACATATTAAGCATGTAAATATACATAAATTCATTTTTGAGTTTTATTCCATTAGCACGCCAAGGTAACGTTCAGTTTCGACATATTTATAATCGTATTACCGAAACTTTTCCAAGAAACATAATTCATATTATGGCTTAGTTTCGTCTGATGGCAAAACTTAATTAAAACTTGCTGCAAACACAAACAGCAACCGCATAGAAGTAAAAAACTTTCGAGAGCGTCTCAAAATTTATTCATAACCCAGCACAGATGTGGGTTCCGATTACAGACCACGACGACACACTCGAGCCACACTTGAGCGGGACAAGAGAAGCGGGCAGTGGTAAATGCAACTATAAGCTATTTTTTTGTAGTTTATTTATTTATATTGAAGATGCACTTCGGTTTGTTGGGCGATAAAACATGAATGTGGTTTGCCTAACTGTATATATTAAAGTTATGGCTGGGGCTGCAGTTGGCAGTTGCTCCAGCTTTTGCGCTGACAGCCGGCTCCATTAGCACCTCATTGACAGGCATCGTGTTACGCAGGTCGAGGAGGAATGCGAGGGTTGAGAGGGTATTTCAATGTTCGTCATGAAACTAGATTACACATTGATGATGCGCTCCAGTAAACTGCTGTCCCTGCTTTTGCTGTTGCTGTTGCTGCTACTTGGCATATCGCGTGCCGTACTTATTATGTATCTTTAAGATACAATAATGCATGTATGTATCTTGCGGCTGCCTTCATGGAGCGTAAGCAGAGGCTGCTGTTATTGTTGTTGCTGCTGCTGCATAAACAAACATCGCCGAGTGCTTGTTTTGCTTTCAATGACGACTTTTGACAGCCCATCAATAAGCGGCAGCAACAGCCACATCGCTCATCCGCCATGTTCTACACACCAAATGAAATTTGTAAAGAGGCTGAAGTGGGTTATTATATTATTTCTCAGCTTAACACAAACTTTTATTGAAGAAGAGCCAAAAATTGTTAACTGACAGCTTTTGTCGCCTGATATGTTGACAGAGCTCTTCTATTGCTGCCGTCCCTATTGGCATTTGCTCAACTCTTTGTCAGTTTGTTTGCCCTTTCAAAAAATGAAGAAAAAATGGCCTCAAGCTCAGCACTTGACACATTTGTCATTTGATCCTTTTAAGGCCCTGAAACTGTGCTGTAATTAACTCGCAATTTGCATTTAAACGAAGACGCCAAAGCCCTTTTAATACCCTGCATTTTAGATACGTTATGTGCAGTAAAAGTCTATCCTTTTGCAAATTATTTATATGAGTGCCACACATAAATGTTTTATTTATTTCCGTTTTGTCTTGAAATAAAAATGAAAAATATATTATACAGAATTTAATTTGTGAAACAAGACTAGGGTATTTCTCAGTACATCAGCCCGTTTGTAGGTTTGTCTTGCGACACATTTGCCCTTTCGCATATTGTTTACACACTCTGTAGACACTTTGTATTACTTTTTGCATGCCAAAAACAAATGGCAATTGTTTGTTGTTTACTTAAACTAATTTGTTATTATTGTCGCTTACGGTTTCCACCCTCTTAAGAAATGTCGTTTGAGCTTAAGTAGAGTCCCTAAAAATATACTTTCCGGGTTTCTAAAAACGCAATTCAACGCCAATGGATGCGAGGGGCATCTTAGAGAACGAGTGTGAGGGGACTGCAATTTGTTATAATAAAAGCGTTTTTCTATTTTGTATTTTATGTATTTTTTTGGTTTGTGTCTACAGTCAAGCTGCAATTTGTTTTATGCGCTCAGTGTCACTTTCAATTTCTAGCAATTTAAATCGCGTTTGCGGCCAGCGGCCAGTGACCAGCGGCTTGTGCCGCGTATCCGTCGAATGAGGTCAGAATTGGACGAGGCAGCTATTAAAAAAAATTGGTTTAAAAAAACTAGAAAAAAGGTTCCACTCGCCCCCAACTATGCGACACATATACGAGTATATATAATATATATATATATATATATATATATATATATATATATATATATATATATCTATATATATATATATATATATATATATATATATATAGAATACGCCTTGCTATGCGTTTTATCAGCTCAAGTGCCAAAGGAATGAATTGGACATGTCGAAATCCAGTCAACGATCGGCGGTGCGGCGGCGCTGTTAGTGTCAGTGGTGCTGCTGGCAATTTCTTGGCGCCAGCACCACAATCAGCATAAATTTTCACACAAAAAAATGCAAATTAGTGGACTCTATTTGCGTATAACGAATAAATTAAACAAGTTGCAACACACGACTCGATTCAACTCGACTCGTTTTGCAGCAGCGACACAATTGATTGAAAGCTATAAAATCGTTTTTGTATGTGATGCTTAACTTGCTGTGAGATATTCTCTAGCAGCAAATTATCTATCTAATCTGACTATCTATCTATCTATGCAGTTATCTTTATAACTATCTATTTTTTCTTTCCTAGGAAAGTGAATTGTTTTAATGTTCTTTGTTTTAATGATTATCAAAATAAAGTCTAAATTAATTAGGTAAGTCTTTCATTTAATTCAAATTTATAATAAAAAAATATAATATAATAAATAATTATATATAATAGCAAATTATAAACAAAAAAAACCCAGTTGGTTTTAATTGCATCTTTGTGAAATATGAAACAAAAAGCTCAAATATAAAAAATTTAAATATGAATCATGTGGCAGCAGCTCGTGTGTCC